CCCCCCCCCGGCGATGGGCCCCGGGGGAGCCCCCACACCCAAGGGGCCCTGCGTCGGGAAGAGCCGCCGGCGAGGGCAGGCCCCCGCCCGGTCAGCCCGACGGCCAGCCGGCTTGAGGCCTCCCCCCTCGGACGCGTCTTTTTTCCCACCGAGCACGGCTTTGCCCACTTTGCCGCACAGCCACTCTTCCCCCGGACCATGCTGCCAACTTGCCTGGCTCCCGACAGCATTCAGCCGCTCGATATAGGCCTGCCCAGCCCTCACGCTCAGGGGGTGCGGCTCCCAGCCAGTCGCATGTTTCCCCCATCTCCCCGATCAGGCGTCGCCCGGCCGCTGCGAGCCAAGTCCGGGCGAACCCCTGCAACAGGCCGGGTGCTACGCAAGCAGCCCCCGAGGGAGGACAAAGACACGCCGGGGTCTGGCCGCGGGGCCTCCCCAGGCGCAGACTGCTCGGACGGCCGTGGCAGGTCGGGTGGCAAGGGGCCGCCCTCCGGGGAGCGCCGTGAGCGTGCGGCTGGGCACAGGTGCACCAGAGATGGCCTCGGTGTCGCTGCCAGGGCCATGCATGCATGCATGCTCGCTGGGACTATCTTGCCGCATGGCCCACAATCGCTTTGCATGCTTGATCGGCTGGTGAATGTGCCCTGGTGTGAGCCTGTGCCATCGTCGGCGGAAGTCGATCGGCCTCGCTGTGGCATCGGCTTGCCCTCGAGTGGTGTGTGGGGCTGCCACGCCGGTGGCCGGCAGCCCGGGCCCCAGCCGGAGATGGAAATCTCCCGGCCCTTTGGCCGAGATCGAGCTCCGGCCGGCCGGGTCACGCGGGCTGCGCACATGGTCGTGATTCGGCCAGAGGCCAGGCCGGCTGTGTAGTGGAATCCCAAACTCCGTAAACCAAATCACCTTTGAGTTACAAACTGCACGTGCGGGATACCCCGTAACATATGTGACATTCTAAACGGCGTTCCTCCATAGAGGAACACGGCGACTGCCTAGCGGCCGCCTTTCCCGGGCCTGTGTACAGGAGCCCGAGAGAGGGACGGACGTTCGCGCGTGTGCGGAGTTCTCAGATCTGCCCCTTTTGACCGAGCCAAAGGTCAAAAGGGGGACTCCCTCCGGGAGCCTCCTGAGAATGAAGGCCTTGGCAGCTGTGTGTGTCGAAGAGCATGCGAGAGCATCGCTGAGAGCACCAGTCCAGCCCGCGAAGACCTGTTCTAAGGCTGCCTCTCGAGCCCCCTTTTCATTTATTTTATTTTATTCCTTCTTCCGTTCGCCCGCCAACTCGTCTCAGGCCGAGTTACCGGTCTCTCTCTCTCTCTCTCTCTCTCTCTCTCTCCTTCCAGGCGACAGTATATTCCCTGGCTCGGTACGCCCTCTACTTCATGCCCCAGAGTGCCCCCTACCCGGCGGCAGATTTCCGATATGGCTCCCGTCAAAGCATCACTCCTTTGCCGAAAGACCGGACCCGTGAGAACCCTGCTACAGCTGCTAAGCTTTTGCCTTTCGTTCTCCTGGGGGCTCCTCACCGCGCAAGTGAGGAGCGAGACCCCACGTCTCCCACGGGGGACGCCTCCGGAGACTTGTAGACCGCAAGGCTACTTGGGTCCTGCCTAGGCCCCAGCTGGGCTGGCGAGCGGATCGACGCTCGGGCGCAGACCTATGACTTGTCGCTGCCAGGGCTGATAGAGCAATCTAGAGCAGGAGCGATGGCGGAACTCCGTCCTTCGAAGTGTAGCTCGTACCGCCGGACCATGGTAGCGCTTCTCGCGATGGAGTAGGGGCTCGAGAACCGAGTGAATTGAGAGTCCGCACGAGACCTCAATGTGGTCTTCTAACTCCCGACCTTCGTCGCCTCCCCTTTATCTTTTCTCCGGGTCGGATCTCCCATCCCCTCCGTCCGCCTCGTGTCGCCTTGCCGAAGCTGTGCTCTGTAGTTTCGAGACGCTCGACATGGAGTCCGGTGACCTTCCGACGAACCAGCCTGTCTCAGGCTCCTCCCTGCCTTTCGCAGAAGAGGACGGATTGGACTATGTCCTCGGCTTTGAGCTATGGTTCCAGAAAGATTACGAGACTGGTTCCGAGGCGAAGGACAAGATGAAGACCTTCTTCCACGAACTGGAGGCGAAACTACCCGTCCAGGACTATCCGATTGAGACCCTGGACGACGTCGCTAGGGAGCTGGAACAGATGTTCCGGCAAGCGGACAGGCAGCTCCTCGTCGTCCAGCTCGAGAGTACCAAGTGGTGGAGAGAGTACCGAGTCCGGAAGGGCGGAGAGCCTATCTCGAAGGGGGTGAGTGCAGGTACACCGGCTGTGCCGGTGGTTGTGGCGAATGACTATTATCGGACGTTGGGGCGACTCAGCGGCGAGGAGGTCATCACGATCCTGCAGGAGAATCACCGTTCTCGAGAGGGACGCCCATCCCCTCCACCGGAGGATTTGAACGATCGTTGGACCCGAGCCAGCAGGATGACTCCGCCGCCCGACTTCGAGGCGGTCATGCCGTGGACAGTGAGCGAAAAGCTGGCCTTGGTGCAAGTGTGCAGAGAAGATCAAGTTAACGTAGATTGCGAGGGGTGGTCCCATTGACCGGAGAAGGGGGGCATTTATAGGCTGGCCCTCCGGATCCGCGAGGCAACGATGTATTGCCTGCGCAAATACCCCATCTGAGCGCCAGGTGAAGAAGATCTTCCAGAAGATCGAACCGTCGGTGCCTTGGGATTGGTCTCCCCAGGGAACCCCCTTCAGCATAAGCATGGCGGAGAACTTGGCTTTCGTTCCAGAGAGTCAGCGAGCGGCGTTGATCGTCGTGTTGTTCCATAGCCTACGGGATTTGTCCTCCTTTGGGGAGCAAGTGTACCTGCTCCGCTGCATTCTGGCCAAGTCGGGCCTCGGATTCAGCTGGTCCGATGCCTGCTTGATCGCCCAGTTCGGTTCCCGCGGCTTGCCCGTCGACTGGCACTCTAGCTTGCGACAGGTCCTGGATATCCTCAGTTCGGACCATCCGCGTGATTTGAATTACCCTCCCATCGAACTGCTGAGCGCAGTCCCTCGTGTCCTGCCCGGTCGAGAGAACTGGCCAGAGCATGGGGATGGTCGTTCCGAGGCTTATCACGATCATTTCACGTCCAGGAAGCGCTCCAAGGAGGGCGCTGCGATCGTCCCTGTTCCATCCAAGCGTCAGAGAGTACGCTCGCAACACTCTTCCCATTTCCCCGAGAGCAAGTCGGAGACTCCTGGTCAGGAGAATTCGGTGATCATCCGAGGTAGCACGAGCTATCGCGGAGGCCGCGGTCGGTTTGGCAAACTGAACAGGAGGAACCTCAGCCGAGGTCCCAAGTGACCTCCTGCTGGTGGATCTACCACCGACTCGCGCGGCACGCAGTCCTGAGGCATGGCCTCCAGGTGGCCCTTGCAATATACTCACTCACCTCCTTGCACATCCACTACTACTCCTCACGGGGGTCGATCGGTCAGCAGCAACCGGATGGGCCTACGGGCCGGCGGTGCGACCGCGGAGAGACGACTGGTCGTGCGGGAGCCCTGGACCGGGAGATGTACAGGAAACTGTGCTCCATGAGCGTTCTGGATACAGGCCACGGGCATAGCATTCGCTTCGACGAGTGTGCGGGGACACTCTGCTCCGACTGAGGTATGACTCAGGAGCCCTGGGGTTGAACGCCATCCCCCATAGTCTCGTCCAAGCTTTTGGGTTGGATATTGCAAGAAGAGTCCAGTCATGATCCGACTGGCCGACGGTACTGAGATTGCCGCGATCGGGGAGGTGCAGTTGACCTTGCACTGTGGAGGCAAGACTGCTCGAGGCAGGTTCGTAGTTTTGGCTGCCGCTGGTGGCGAGGTGTTTCTGGGGTTGCACACTATGCAGAAAGTCTGGCCGGAGCGTTGGTCGTGGTGGACCGACGAGGTTTCCACGGAACCTGTGGCTTTCTGGCAGCCGGCCCGCACCGCGGGACCAGAGAACCCCTCGTACGCCGTGGTACTGCGGTCCGCCGGGGAAGTCGACGAGATGCGGACTCGTACGCAAGAGGCAGGGCACTGCGTCCATCCCCCGTGGATGAAGTACCTCGAAATGGTCCGTGCGGCACAAGGGCGGCTCCCCAAGTCCCAGGGGGTCGCCCCTATCCGGATCAAGCTCAGACCGGACGTCGTGTTGCCGCCGTTCCACAATCGCCGGTTTACCCCGGTAGAGCAGGCTGACATCGAGGAGTGGGTGCTGGGCGCACTCAAGTCAGGACTCACCACCGAGACGCATGTTGATCAGTGAGCGGCTCCGTTGGTTGGCGTGCGAGTGCCCGGGAAGAAGACACGCTGGTGCGTGGATCTCCGGGGCCTGGACGCACCGGTGGAGACCTTCAGCCTTCCCATGCTGGTGGCTGACGAGGCACTGACCAAGGCCGGGAAGGGAAGGTGGTTCACTTCACTGGACCTGGCAGAGGCCTGCCATCATGTGTCGAGGTCCACCCGGAGGATCGGCACCTGCTGATCTTCGTTGCCAACAAGAAGTAGTACCACTTCAAGCGGATGCCCTTCGGCTACCGGAATGCGTCGCATCACTGCAACGCCGCGATGGATAACATCCTCGCCCCGGCGCGCAAGTGCGCCATCTGGTATCTCGATGATATCCTGATCTTTTCTGAGACGCAGCAAGAGCATGTTCGACCGGTTCGCGCCGTGCTGGAGCTCCTAGCTAAGGCAGGGGCCAGTATTCGCGCCGGGAAATGCCTCTTCATGGTGTCAACTGTGAAGTTTCTCGGGCATCGCTTGGGAGGCGGTGTGCTTGATTGGACTCAGGATCGGATGGCCGCCCTGAGCGAATACGAGAAGCCAGCCACCATTCGCCAACTTCGATCTTTCTTGAGTGCACTGAGCTACGTCGTGAGATGGCTGCCGCTGGCTGCTTGCGAGTTGGCCCCGCTCAACGAGTTGTTCCTCGGCAAGTCTCCGCGAGCCAATAATCGGATCACTTGGACCGAGAAGCTCGATACTCATTTTGACAAGGCCAAGAGACTGGCGAGGAACTCGCAAGCCCTCGCCCTGCCTCGGGAAGACGAACCCTACACCATGGCCACGGACGCCTCGGATTTTGGCATGGGGGCCGTCCTTTTGCAGGAGTCTAAAGGCGACCGGGACCTATCGGGCCGGACCCTGCTGAAGCCGGTTGCGTATTGGAGTCGGAAGCTCAGCCCGGCCGAGCGCAACCACAGTACCTGCGAGAAGGGGTTTCCTGCACTTGTGGGCGCCCTGCGCCAATGGCGCCACAAAGTGGAGAATGGCGAACCGCTGACGGTGTTGACCGACCATCAGCCACTCCTCCGTTGGGCCGTCCAGCAGGAGCCCAAGCAGCGTGTGCAACGCTGGAGCTGGGAGCTAGCTACCTTCCAAAAACCGCAGCTTGTTCACCAGCCCGGCGTGCTCAATGTGGTGGCGGACGGGCTGTCTCGCCTGCGAGATGAACCGCCATCCAAAGCTGGCCAGGCCGCGATCCGGCCGTCTCTCTTCAGCCACCCGTACTTGCGGTGGACCACCAAGGAAGACATCCGCGGCGGGTTAGGCTCTATGACGCGGGTGGACGCTCCTTCGTGGATGAGTCGGCTGATCAACCAGCAGAAAGTATGCGCTGCTGGCCGTCCCGACCGGAAGCTAGGGGACCATAACGGCATCCTGTATTTCGAGGATCGGATTTACCTTCCCGAGAGTATGATCTTGGAGGTACTGGAGCACATCCACGACTCGACGGTGTACGGCCATCCCGGGCGGGAGGCCACCATCAAGCTGGTGTGCGACCGATTCGCCAGTGAGCGGCTGCGGCAATACGTCCCGGAGTATGTCCGGACTTGCGCGAATTGCCAAGCCCTCAAGGCTAGAAACCGCAAGCCTCTAGCGAACCCCAGGGAGCCGGGCGTTGTCGCGGGCAGGCCCCTGGAGGTAGCTTCGCTAGATGTGCTTTCAGCTTTGCCAGACGACCTCGAATGCGAAGCCTTGTTGGTGATCGTGGATCAGCTTTCGCGATACACCTGGGTAAGCGTATGCAGCTTGTCTGTCGTGGACGACATACGACTTTTACAAGCAGCTCTGTACGAATGTCGACCCATGGGGCCCGTTCCCCAAAGTGGTGAATTCGGACGGAGGCCCGACGTTCCGTTCTGGAGAGTGGAGCCTTCTGCTGGCTCGCAAGGGGTGTGTCCCGGGGGTCTCCACCCCCCAACCACCCGATGTCCAACGGGGCAGCCGAACGGGCGATTGGCATTCTACCGCAGCACATTCGGATCGCCCGGGCGACTTCCTGGAAGGACCGGAAGCACGCAGGAAGAGCCATCGTTCGAGCGGCAGCCGCGTTGAACCGTGTTCCGGTATCCTTCTTGGGGTACAGTCCGGAGTACATCATTGCTGGGTACGGCTCCGATGTCTCCGAGATGGGAGCCATCCCGACCACCAGGAAGGCACACAAGGAGATGCTAGAGGAGGTGAAGGGACGTAATGCGGCCCAGGGCAATCGCGTTGTCGAGACACTCAAAACCCGCACGACCCCCTGCCAATTCAAAGACCTCGATTGGGTATTGGTAGATGTGGCGACCCTGTGGGGTGACCACAAGAAAGCTGTCAAATGCTCCAGACCTGTGCAAATTCGGAAAGCATCGGGCACCACGCTGGAACTCTTCGAAAAGCCCGCGGGAGGAAAGTCCGTCCTGATCAGTTCCCAGTATGCAAGGCCGTACCACAATCGGAACGACTGGATCATTGCAAAAATCCCCGGCTTCACACCTAATACCTGAATAGCGAAGGCTCTGTGAGAGCGGCGCCTCCTCAGGGCCACCTTGCCACAAGCGAGGGATTCGGCGCACCAAATAAATATCTGCCCCAATTCCCCAAGGAGGAGCGATGAGCCCAAGACCTGCCTCACCAGCGGCAAGGCCAAAGATCTCGAGCCAGGCAACCTGCAACCATACATTATCAGCACTTGAGAGAACCGACGATAGGCTTGCCTAGAAGCGTTGAGATCGGGTGAGCGAGCATAGCTAGCCCTCACGCCGAGGCAAGAACAAGGGGGGGGGGGGAGCTTAGCATCCTCATCAGCCGCCCCAAATCAGACCCAAGGGATTACCACAGGAGTCCAAAGAGCAGCGCTTTTGAAAACAAGGGCCTTTTCAAAGTCACCAAAAGCGTTGCCTCTCACCTGGCGGCTGTGGCGGAATCCCCCAAACTCCGTGAGCCAAATCACTTGCTGAGTTACAAACTACATGTGCCGGATACCCCGTGACAGATTTGAGTACTAAACGGCGTTCCTCTCTGGAGGCGCGCGGGGGAAGGCGACTGCCGAAAGACCGGATCCGTGAGCGCCCTGCTGCACACTTGTAGCAGGGTTCACACGGGTTAAGCCTAAGTCAAGTGAGTGAAGCTTGACGAAGGGTACCAGTGTGATCTGCCACCCGGTTAGTAACCTCTAGGCATGAATAAAGGGAACATACCAACCAGCGGTTCACGGTCGTCTGTTTCCAGAGTGAGTCAGTAACTCGGTTTGAGTCGAGTTAGTGGCAAGCGAAATAGAAAGAGAAACTCGAATAAATAAAAGGGGTTCGAGAGGAAGCCTTAGAACAGGTGTTCGTCGACTTGACTGGTGTTTCAGCTATACTTTCGTATACTCTTCGACACACAGCTGCTAAGGTCTTCACTCTCGGGAGGTCCCTTGCGGGAGCCCCCCTTTTGACCTTTGGGATAGGTCAAGGGGTGGATCTGAGAACCCCGCGGTGGGACTTGTCCCCCCCGCGTATCTCCACGCTCGGTCGAGCGCCTACATCGCTCGACCTCGCCGGGCCACCTGGGCCGTTATCCAACCCCGCATTCTCGATCAAGAGAATGCTATTGGAACTTTGTCCTTCTTTGGTTTAACAC